TGCTGGCGGCCATGAAGAGGCAGAACGTGCGGACCCTGTCCCTTATCATCTGCACGTTCACCTACCTGCTGGTCGGGGCTGCCGTCTTTGATGCCCTGGAGTCCGACAACGAGATGCGGGAGGAGGAGAAACTCAAAGCCGAGGAGATCCGGCTCAAAGGAAAGTACAACATCACCAGCGAGGACTACCGGCAGCTGGAGTTGGGTGATCATGCAGTCCGAGCCGCACCGAGCCGGAGTCCAGTGGAAATTCGCCGGCTCCTTCTACTTTGCCATCACGGTCATCACGACCATCGGTGAGTGTCTCCACTCGGGGAGGCCCCATGGGGCCACGGCCGGGGCTGGGGTAAATGCTCCCCGGGTTGGGAGAAAGGGAGAGGGGTAAGGAGGCTGTTACGTGCAAAGGTGCCGGTGCTGGATGAATTTCTTGCTTCCCTCCTCTATTATGTAATTCATTGCTCTTCTTGGGCACTTGTTGGACTTGGCAGTGTCCCGCACCTCTTCCCCTGGAGATGGATCCTTCATCTCCTGGGTGGCACTGGGGAGGAGTGGGGCTACTCTGGCAAGGGGAATTGGTAGTGGCCAGGTGGCTACCATGGAGCTCTGGCTTGGGCGACGAGGAAGAGTGGGGGAAGAGGCAGGGTGACACTCTGCTGGGGTTCCCCTCAGGAAGAAGGCCCTGTTGCCGCACTCCTTCTTGCACCTTTGCTTAAGAGACAGGGGGAAAACTTGGGCAAAAGGCAGCTGGATGAGAATGAAAATGAAGAGGACATGGGAACTAGATCAGCTGGGAGAGACCTTGATGTAGCCAAGCTTAGCCCTACTTGGGCAAACTTTGTTTTGGTGTTGGCAAGGGCTGCGGTGGCAGTTCCCACAGCTGTGGTCCCATTGCTGGGCCTTTCCTGGGCATTCCCAATGTGTTCCTGAAGTTTTTATTGCAGCTGGAGTGTCTAATGTGTCAACAGGTCATAGTCTACATCTACCCTTTGTGGGCACATGGTGTGAAAGGCAAAATGTTGCCTGCTGTCACATCTGTGATGCCCAGGTTCCCAGATGTGCCATTTCCCTGGACAGTCAAGGGGCAGTCAGTGGACACAGCCATGGGCTGTCATTTTGTACTTCCCTGCTTCCTGCAGCTAAAGCTGAGCATTTCACACAAAGTTTGCTTCCCTGCCATGAAAATAAACACCACGAAGACTAGAGGCTGCAGTGTGCACACAGAACTGTGTTACAACTCCAGCTTTGGCTGGATGAGCAGGTTTTCTTCCCTGGTTTTGTATTCTTTAAGGTGGGTTTATTGAGACTGTTTGTAATGTTCTTCTCCCAGAACTTCTAGCCCCCTAACAACTCGGGAGATCTGAAAAGACCCTTCTAGCTCAGTGGCTGTTCAATAGTGCATTTTACAGAGCAGGACAGGAAAGTAGCTCTTATTAGTACAGAACGACTTGGTCTTTTTACTATTTAGGGTTTGTTACAAGAAATTTTTACACTGCCACCTGAAGATACCGAGTTTTCTGCAGAACATGATGTCCACTGCCCTTTGACAAGTACCTACTTACTTTTGTATTTGACTGTATTATACCTGGAGCAGTAAAAAAATTTCCTTTGAAAGATCATCTGACACTATAAAGCCTATTTGCCCTTACAAAGATAAGAATTTTTAAGGAATAATTTTCTCTTCCTTTCTGCTATTAAATATATTAATGTAAAATGCAAATATTAATAGGTTATAGAATATAAAGTAGAATGGAACTTTGGCTGATGATTTGTATTTCCCGCTGTTCATTACAATGTCAGAACTCTCTTTCCTCCTTTGACCGCTGGGTCTCTCATCCTTGACCTGTCTTTTGTCACTTATTTCTGCTAAGTGAATAGTGGACTGTCATACCCCTCTGGATTACAACAAGGCTTCCATGCACACGCCTGTGTACTCATGGTGCCCTGTACTCCTGCCTAAGACTGACTGCAACACTTGGTGCTTTTGTAAGCTCAGTTGGTGACAGGTGGAAAGGGCTGTTTGTACAGTAGTTTGATGTTTTGATCGTGTTTTACCTGGAAACAAGTACAACTTGCTTGGGAAGCTTTCGCATTTTCTCCTGCAAAGAGCTGGGATTTGTTTAGGAAGCTCGGAGCACCTCAGCACGCAGAGAATAGCATGCATTTCTGTAGGCAGAGGCACTTTGGGATGTCAGAATTGTTTAAATTTAAAAGTGTATATAACAACAGGGAACCACTGGGAGGAAGAGTAACAATAAAGAACAGTGCAGAAAGACAGACATTCTGTAACAATTGTTCATTTGGGAAGCTCTTCTCCTGGAGGATATCTGATCCGTCTTTTAAAAGTTTATTAATAGTTACTATCTACATCTTGCCAAATGCACTGCTATTTTTTGTACCATCTCTTCTGTACTAAAGTGGCTTCCTGATGATATCTGATCTACTGGTAGTCTATAAAAGTGAGCATGGAGAATTTTTCTTTAATTTCTTATTATCCTAAAATAATTTGGCTCACAGAGGGGAAAAAATTACTTTATTTGTTTAAGTTCTCAGGAAAATAAGAGTTCTTATCTGTGTTTCTTGCACTGGGGAGTGATTTTAAATGTCCATATTAATCGCTAGTGAAGATTCTTTTTTTTTAAATCTGTGTGTATACTCTTACATACATGTCCTTCTCCCTCTAAAACCTTCCAGACAGACTTTCAGGAGCGCATGCAGTGGGGTATGCATTGGGGAACATGCTGTAGTCAGTAGGTACTCCAGCAAAAGTGTGTCTAACTAACGGGCTGATTTTTAAAATTGAATGCCTTCCCTAATCTGGATGGGTACCTCTATCTCCACAAAACTTCTCTTCTGAGAAAACAGTGACAGGAATCAGAGGACCACAAAGTCGAGCAGTATGAATGTGGTCGCAGACTAATTTATGTCTAACTTAATTGTACTCCGTGATACTGCCGTGCTAGCAACATGTCTGAAGCAATTACCTCTTTGCTGTGCTGATTTCAACTACTGTAGCTTTAATTTAATCAAAGGCGTTTATGGCTGGCCGTGGCCCATCAGCCCACTGCCCTCGGTAGCCGGGAAGAGGCCGGTGCTTCTCGGCAGGTGCCGGGGCAGCGGCGCTGCGGGGCGGCGCGGGCGGCGGGCGGGCGCTGCTGCCCGAGGGACGGGTCCGGCAGTGTCCCTGGACCGTGGTGCTGAAGGGAAGGTCCCTCTTCGCCCTCGGGGCGTGGGGAGTGAAGGGACAGCTCTGTCAGTGTCCTCGGGCGCTGGTGCTGAAGGAACAGGTCCAACAGTGTCCCCGGAGGTGGTGCCGAAGGGACAACTCCGGCAGTGTCCCCAGAGCGTGGTGCTAAAGGGAGAGCTCCACCAGTGGCTCCCAGTCCGTGGTACTGAAGGGACAACTTCGGCTATGTCCCCAGTCCGTGGTGCTGAAGGGGTAGATCCTACAGTGTCCTCAAACCGTGGTGCTGAAGGGACAACTCCAGCAATATCCGCAGTCCGTGGTGCTGAAGGGACAACTTCGTCAGCGCCCTGGGACTGTGGTGCTGAAGATTCAGCTCCCGTCCATCTCCGCTGCTCCGGGCTCCCCTCATCGGGCAAACTCTGCAGCTTGTTGCTTCCCGTGAAAACACACCATTAAAGACCTGTTTGGAAGGGAGCATGAGAACCTGAAACCCTCCTGTGTGAGGTGAAGTGCTAAGATTTGGTCAGCTCTCACATTTCATCAAATCTATGGCATTTGGCTGTTATTGGAGGGTGGTGGTGGGTTCTTGCTTGTCAAGCTGAGTACTAAACAAAGAAGCAAGGGCTAATCAAGTAAATGGAAACAATTTGTTTTTCACCTGGGGCACACCATATTTTTCTACTCCGCAGTGCAATGTTCTTTTCTTTTTTCTTTTTTTTCCTTTTTTTTTTTTTTTTCCCTTCAACTGACACAAGAACAAAAAGATTGACAACAGCAGGTGCTACATCATTCAATGAGTCTGCTCTTTAGATCCATTAGGGGACAAAAAAGGATCATCTTTCACAAAGTTTTGGTTATTTTTGAATTCTGTGAAAGTTTTCAGGTGCTCAAAAAGAACTATTAAGCTTTTCTTGGCTCTCACCAGTTGCTGAGTTTATTTCAAGATTGTTCTAGTTTCAGTTAGCTAGTATAATTTCCTATCCATTTTCAGTTACACAGTGAAAATGATGAAAGAGAGTAGTTTAATGAAATTCTCCATCCAGCTACTTGTCTTTTATGAGATACACTGTAGAATATGCCACAGAGTTCTTCAAGAGGCATGAAGGGAAACACCAACTTTTGAAAATAAAAGCTTATTACTAGGATTGCTAATAAGTTTTAGTGCCTTTTTCTACAGGTCTATAAGAGTCAGTAAACTGCTTCTATGTAGGCAGGTGTCAACACTGTCAAAATGTGTTATTGGTATGGATATCGCTCTATCATTTAGGCCTTAAAGGGTGATAGTCATACTTGATTTAACACCACCGAACTCTAGTAAACACTGAATATTTCTGGAGTCTTGTGCAGAATGTAAGAACTGAAAGCTGTTTATGTCACCCTAACATGAACTGAAACAACAAACAGATTGAAGATTGTTATTTAATTATTTTTTTCCTGAGAAGTGACTGTAAGGGGAGCAGAATTAAAATGGTTTGTGCTGTGAATTGCTAGTCTCTTTTTATAACTTTTGGACCTTTGTTTTCAGTTTTGAACCTACTACAAGCACTGAGTGAAATATCCTGGTGAACACAGAAAAAATACTTTTTTAACAACGTGGTGCAATACCTGTAATGGTGAATGGAACAGGCACCTAATGATGGCTGTTTGGCTACTGAGGAACTGTCTGCATCCAGATGAGAACATTGCATTTTTCTGGCAGATGGTGGCCTGACAGGGAGTTTGAACCTGCATTAATGAACTGAGCAAACACATGTTTAAATCCATTTTGAAATAGCAGTTTAGTCTTCATATTCTTTCTCTGCATCACTTTACCCTTCCGTAAAATGGGTATAAACCCACCAAATTAATAATACAATGATGTCTCTAATTTGGGTTAGAAGAAGACCAAAGTGTTTTCACATGTGAATTATTTTGTCCGTGGTGCTCCCTCTTTAAGACCAACCTCTGGGTTTTTGAACCTGGTCTTGGGTTTTGATGTATGGTAATATATAAAGCCAGTCCACTGGAAAGGTTTCAGTACAGAGTTGTGGCAGATGGACAGCTTACAATGAAAATAAAGAAAAGAAAGGAAGAAAACAAGACATGGAAAGGGAAAGACTGAGAATAAGGACA